AAAATGCATAGTTTTTAAATTAAAAAGCCAATTTATTGTCGGTAAGGTTTATTACAGGCACACTCAGTAGAGTTAGACAAGCGCACCCTTTCCGAGGCTGTCGTTCTATTGGCTGAAAAGGTTGCTAGGCGACGATCCGATCCAATCTGAGAGAGAGCAAAAAAAAATCCGCAAGCAGAGCCTACAGGTTTGCGAGCGTAACTGAGACTCAAGCAGAGCGCGGTTTGCAAGAACCATTAAATCTGAGAGAAGAAACAAAGATTTGAGAGGGAAGAGAAAATATTTGAGAGAGAGCGCATGTTTTGAGTGTGAGCATTATAAGTTTTGAGTGCAAGAAGATGAGATTCTTTTCTCAAATTGAAATTATGTGCTCTTGCATTATGGCAGGATAATTCTCCCATACAATTCATGCGAAGCGACGAATAGTCCAGAAGTCTGTTCATCGGCATTTACTTTTGGTTAACTCAAACATCTAAATGGCAATTCTGAAAGCTTTAGTTTGAAATTGAAGCAGAAATAATTCAAGAGCCTCTTGCTAATCCTCATGTGATCGGCCTTTATGTCGTGACCCAGTCTTTACGAATCATTTACTGTGTTAAAGACTTTAGTGACATAAAAGCTTTTTCCCTCCCTCCTAAGGTGTCGTTTAAACATTACGTTTGTAATTAAAAGTCAAGGACATACTTACACCTTGACCCTAAAGCAAATCAAGTTTTCATTCCATTTGTAGTACTTTTAAGTTTCTTTTGCTGTGGATTTATTATGGAAATAACTGAGACAGAGACTTTCTGCACCGTTAACCCCACAACTGAAAGTGATGCTGTAGGAAGTGATTGTTCAGCTTGCTTCCTGTCCATGTTTTTCACAGGTTAGGTATGAGGCACAGAGGAAACCAGAGTCTGATGGCAGATTTGAGACCGTTTAGATTAAATCTGAAACAGTTGGTCTCTTAATGCTGTAGAATTTGATGGATTCATGAGTAAACAATAGGGCAACATTTTAAAAAACATAGATTTTTCAATTTTCCATTAATTTTCAGATTAATTCTTAGATTGATTCATATAACTGAAAATATTTGTTTTACAACTTGATTTTTCCACTGCTACCAAAGCTTTATTAATTTGCCGTTATCAAAATGTTCCATAACTGCACTGTCAAGTAAGAGTTCAAAAATATTCATAATACCAGCAATCCAATTTGAATTGGAGCTGGATTGGATTAAATCGGATCAAAGAGAATAATATCTAAAATTTGAAAATCGTATTTAAATAAATACTTAAAATCCGAATCAATACTCAGACTTTGTGTGCAGAGCTGCAGTTTTTTGAAATGTTCTTTAGCTGTTATACATTGGTTAATGTGGCCTCTGTGATCACTAAGAGGCTTTTTCAAACATCCTGTCTCCAGCTCTCCGGTTCCACCAATCTTTCGCTCCCACTATCCTGGTTTTTCTGTAAGTGGTTAACCCTAATGGACGACAGCAGAGAGATCCATAATGGCGCACAAAGAGACCAAACTTTCCAGGAACCGTCAATGATCCAGCATCTGAAATATATTCTCTTATTTTTCCAAGGGAAAAATGGGGGGTATCTGGGCTAATGATGGTTCACCACAACAAATTCTTCACTTAATTTCTGCTTTTTAGTTTTTGCAGATTTAGCTTGAAATTCAGAGTAGCTGGTTTAAAAGTAAGATATGAGTTTATAATTATTTACAAACCATGTAGTTTTGCTCTGCTTTGTAATGACCTATTCACTTGTGTTGGTTTATCGCATACATTTTTGTAAATACATGGAATGATTGCTCTTGCAATACCGAAATCTTAATTTTGTACTTTTTTTAATGATGACTTCAATAAAGTTTTCCGCTCTGTCTTCTCTCTCAGGCCGATTACTGGTGGTGACAGGATGATGAAGATAAAGGGAGGAGGCCACAGCCGAAGGTGCAGACCTCGCTAGATCCCCACCTTTCCCAAAAACCCCTCCCCTCCACCATCACCATCCTCATCAGTCATCGCAGCTGCTGCTATCCATCCTCGCTGGCAGCATGGCCAACCACCTGGAGTTGATCCAGGAGCTGCAGCAGCTGGACAAGGTGCCCAGTCTGGAGAGGCTGCGGGCAGCTCAGAAGCGCCGTAGCCAGCAGCTGAAGAGGTGGGCCGTGTATGAGAAGGAGATGCAGAACAAGAAGAGGAAAGCTGACAAGAAGAGTCGCAATTTACTCAGCCTCCAGCAGTCAGAGTCCAAGAGGAGGGTGTCCTTTGCTGCTAGTGTGGCACTTCTGGAGGCTTCGGCCAGGAATGATCCAGATGAAGGTAAATGGTTTGGAATTCTTGATAGAAATAAGCCATAGAAAAAGTCATTGCAAAGCCAAAGTTTTGTTCAGCTTCTTTGATGAACTGTTTTAGAGCATTGAAGACATTGTTTTCTGCTGTAAGGCATCATTAATTATTTAAATTAAAACCAGAGACCACAGTCCACTGTAAGCATTAGACAGCCATTAAAAGCAGTTTTTACTCATTTAAACTAGAAAGATAATGTAGAGTTGACCGTCTTGTATGAGCACTTAGACTGGTTAGCACTACTAACATCTTAAACTGTCAACAGCAGTCTCAGTGTGTTTTATTTAAATAAGTTTTCACTACTTATGTTACACAGAAAGGTTTAACAACCATTATTCTTTGCCTTTTTGGAAATTATTTCCAGTTTGACTTTTGGTCGTTTATTCAGCCCACACTTTAGTTGGGCCCTGACCTGTATTTCTGGAACCCCTCCTCTGGATTTGCATTAAAGGCAACAGTTAAAAGAAATAACACGGTGCATGCTATATCATGTTCATGCTTCCTGTTATTTTCTGAGGTCAGTTTCCAGGAAGTTGGTTTCTTTACCAGTTTGAAGAAACATACCAACGATACATATGAGTTGCTTTCATACTGTAAGTGTTAAGTACTTAAAATCTAAATATTACAAAAGCTTCAAATTACCAGCCTCTGCTAAAGTCCGTCTATTGGAAACTACTTTTAACCATTTTTTTAATAGCTGGAGTAGAATAGCAATAAAGAATGTTGAAAATGGCCAAGTTTATAGAATGTATACATTTTTCTGTTATCCAGAACATTAAAAACATCCTGTGACAAAATATTTCAATTTAATTAATGTCATATATCTGAATTGCCCCATGCCTACTTTAATTTTTGTCAACCTATTGGTCAGTTAACAGATCCTGAGAGAAGCTCCTTTTTTCTTGTTCGGTTGTTTTTAGGTGAGAGTTTTCGATCTTGATTTTCCTCCCCCAGTTTTAAACAAACAGAATGAAGATGCCATACATTTGAAAACTGTAAACAGTCAGTAGTTAGTTTGGCGAAAAATTCCCTTCAAATGTGACAAACGCTCATACATAAAAAAAAAAAAGTGCAGAATTTGGAAATGGGAAACGCTATCCATTCTACAGTAGCCTGTATGAACTGTGCATATGTGTCCACAAAAAGGACATTTCCCTTTCGAATATTTTCTAACATATTTTTAAGTCCTCTGATTTAATTTAAAAGCAAGTCACTTAAAAAAAAAAGATTGATTGGAATGATTTCCCTTCAGTAAAGACACTGGCAGTAGGAATGATGCATTTACTTTGTTAAGAGGACATATTATTTTTTTCTTTTATTTGGTCATCAGTCAGGGACAGTTGAAATGAAAATGGCAATATTCCAGTCACCAGCCGCTCTCTCTATCTCTGTGTATTTCATTGCAAAATGCTCCGGCATGTTCCTGAACTGACAAAATATTGGAACAGCTCTATGTATCTGCGGAAATGTTGAGCTTCGTCTCGTACATCTCAATATGATAAAGTCAGGAAAAAAATTAGCTCAGCCTGGCTGTTGAAAACGTGTCTGAAACCAAATTTGTTTTGCCACAGGTCCGATTTATCATTGTGAGCATAATAGAGGTGTCACACTGAGATGAAACACTGCCAGTCTTTTAATTAAAAAGTCCCCCCATTTAGAGATTATTTGTTGTTTTCCACCAGTAGAGATAGTCCCATAATTTGACAGTGTGATGCTTAATGGATAACATATTGCTAACTTTTATATTTTACATCTAATTTAACGTCATTATAACCTTTGAGTGGTTTAAACTCTTTTTCTCACAACACAAGTCTATGGTGTGTTTATGCTGTCTCTTTGCAGCTGTCTCGTCAGTTTGAAAAAACACCACAAGGCTTCGTTATTTTCATCGTAATTATAATAACAGACTAGAATCTATGGACTTGTAGAAACATGCACATCAGCTGAGGACTGTGAAGTGCAGTAAGTGGTAAACACACTTTGGTTGACGGTTTTTAGAGTTGTGGTTTTGGGTTAATTTGGGAAATGTTTAAAGAACATTTAAGGATTGGTGCTTCTGGGCTGCAATGTAAGGTAGAATTCACAGAAAGTCATTTTAGGGGTCTTAGACCCTCCCCAGTGATCTACACTTTGATCTTCAAGAGTTTTAAAGGGCAGCTTTCATGTCAAGTTATGTCATGACGGACTACACAGCCCCTTTAATGCTGTTGTATTGTTTGAAAGATTATACAAGATGTGAAAAGGTCAAGTTTTAAGCTTTAAATGTATAAAAAGGGCTAATAATCTCAACAAGTAATTTACCCTCAGTCAAACTTGTCTGAAAACAGACATTTATCCAGTTGGAAACATTTTGTGGCGAACAATAAAACTGGATGAACAGAAATAAACACCGACCAACAGTATTTGACTTCTTTTAGTGACAATATCAACAGATCACCAATTCTTGGTAAAACATTGGTTAAGGGGCGGTGATTTAGAGCTGTCTTGAAGCCACATGACCTTGATCCCTTGCAGTCAACTAGTTGATCGTGAAGTTCTACCAGATCATTTCAAGGACAAATGAGAAGCCCATATCTTAGGATCTGAAGAAATGTCTGCTTGAAGAAGACAGATGATCCAACTTAGCACTAAACCTACAACCAAACACTAAATGAATCAATGTTGCAGTCAAAGGCCGGACTCCAACCTGATTGAAATGCTGTGATAGGGGCCCTAGATAAGCTGTGCATAAACAACGTCAAGCTTTCTTACTACTGTTGCATACATTTTGCATCAATCTTATATATATATATATATATATAATCCTATGTGAATTTGTGCAGGGCATCCATCTAATCACCTACCTAAAAGACCCAATTATTTTTCTGTCTGATAAATAAATAGGTTAGTCTTAATGCTGCTTTGCTCTCTAGTCTCCTAATCTTTACCTCTATAACTACCTACCTCTAGCTTTATTACCACTTTCATGTACTTCAGTTGTATCTTCCCAAAGCAACTTCAAGTTATTCTCCAACTAGTAGTTTCAAACCTTTTGTGAATCCTTTTATTGAAATAAATATATATATGCAAGATATATATGCATATGTATATATAGAGAGATAGATATATATGCAATATAATATGTATATATAGAGAGATAGATATATATGCAATATATTTTCCACTGCCATCAAACTACTACCCTGTTGAAAAAGAAATCTCTAAATAATGTGACAGACTCCGCATCACACTGATAACACCAAACCAAAAATATTGTATATTTGCACCATATATATTAATGATCTGAACTTTCATATCAATGCGCTTTTTTGCACCATGTTTTTTTTCTCCCACACTGTTTACATTTGATTACTGCTGCACTTTAAGGAGTGGAAATGTTAATTTGCTCTCTGACAAGCTGTACTAAACGAAACTTTGTTTTGTATACACTTAAAAGTTGTCTAAGTCAAATGCAACATGTGTGTGTGTATATATATATATATATAAGTTACTTTCCACTGCTTTCATATGCAAGCAGTGGAAAGTAACTTTTGGACATAATGCGCATCAAACTTTATTTTCACACTTGAGACACACTGAAAGCCAATTTCTTTGCTCCGTTTTCGCACGTTTTATATGCAGACGCTTTTGTCAGTTCTCCTTCCTGCTGACAGTGCCCAGGCAAAAAACGTCTGCTATCACTGCTGTTTAATGAGGGTGACTGTGAAAGAGGCAGGGTGATACGAAGCAGAAGGAAGACAGGATGTAGTGTTGCCCACACAGCCCCAGTGGCAGCTGGCAGCTCCGAAGCCTGATAATCTTCCCTCTCGTTCCCTCTGGTCCCCAAATGCTCGATCAGGCGTTGTGTCTTCACACACTGTGTTGTTCCAGCAGACTGTACCAGGGATTTACTTGTTCGTGATTATCATATTGGGTCAAATACATAAAGGAAAAGATACTTTTAAAAGAGATATTTGTGAAATTTTGTTCAAATATAAAAAAAGTAAATCCGACTTTTGAGAAAACTGGTATGGCAATTTTTTGACCCAAGAGCGACTTAAAGCAGAGAAAAGATATTGACAAAGATTGAAAAAGAATAGTTACAGATTAAGAATGGAGGAAAGTAATTCACAAAAAAAAGGTTCAAAATGTCATCAATTACCCAACATGCCTTAAAAAATGTGGATGGTATCTCTTGGACATTTAGACAAATGTAAACAAAACACAGAGGTTGAGACATCAACCTGAGGCTGGATGTACTAAGACTGTAATGCGATGAGATGCAGGAAAGCCTCGCATTTAATCTGTGATTTGTAGGGGTAGACGAGTTGCTTCCTGTAGTTGTCGGTTTCCTCTTTTGCCCTCTGTGTGTTAACATATATAGAGTAGTCATTTTTAGTATTCATGCTTCATAAATGAATCATTTGCTGTGAACTTCAGATACACAGTGTTAAAACAGTGGAGAATGTTAAAAGTAGAATCTGCCTGCCTATAGTTGTGTGTGATAAATTCATGTGTGTGTCTCTAAGTGTGTTTTTGTTTTCCTGTCATTAGAACTTCCGCTCTGGAAGCTCTGGGAGCAAATTCTCCAGCCAGAGAGGAGACAGAGATTTTAAACAATGTCTACTAACTCAAGTTCATGTTTTTGCCAATGCAAAATTATAAAACAGAGCAAAAATAGATCAAAATACCTTGGATGAACTGATTACACTTAAAATCTAGGTACTGGTTTTCGATAACATCCTCACGTATCGTCATGACATATTTGTTAGAGGAAAAGAACAGCTGTGTCTGTGTGATATTTGCCATTCAGGTGAGAGTGGAGAATAAATCAGGTGAATATCCAATGTCACTGCAGTCTATTTTCTCTTGACAGCAGGTCTTATGAGCTGATATTAACATGCAAAGCACACAAAGGGTGTGCAAGATTAGATCAAGAGGGGATAGAAGGAGCTCAAAGTAATCAGCCTTAACCTGTTAAATCCTATAGAATG